CCCTTGTCCTCACGTATCTGCTCCTCCTACCTCACTGACCAACCCCTACCCCCACTTCCTACCTACACTCACCTCTACTAGCTTCATCCCCGCCTCCTTGACCTGCCCGTCTTCTCTCCACCTATCTGCTCCACTATCCACCTTCTATCACCGCCTCTCCCTCTCTCTATTTATTTCAGAGCCCCCTTCCTCTCCCCCATTTCTGAAGAAGATTCCAGACCTGAAACGTTAGCTTTCCTGCTCCTGTGATGCTGCCTGGCCTGTTGTGTTCATCCAGCTCTACAACCTGTTATCTCAGACTCCAGCATTGGCGGTTCCTACTATCTCTTTGGTCAAATTTAGTTGTCTACACAAACAGACTTCAAATATTGTAAAAAGAAGTTACCAGAATAGTAATTTTATTGGATTAGATTTTAGCGCAGCTTGATCTCATGGATTTTGCTTTGTGCTAGAGCAGGAGCAAACTGTACTTGCATGTTTTCACAAAATCAGTCTGATTCAGTACAATCCCATGATCTGAGATCACCTGGCCTGGGTAGCTGTGCTCTCTCTCTCTCCATTAGTCACTAGCACTGTACTTCAGATATTTCAGATGTTCTCAACTGTGTTGACACTTTTGACTTTAGAAGTTCTATGATAGAAATTTTGACAGATGAAGGTCAGCATGCAGAACGTCCATTTGAGCAATCTTCAGTGCTGTTGTCAAACTATCAGGGGTTGCACTATTTTATGGTTCACTAGATCTGCAAACAAGTTGTGATGCTGCAGGTACTAGAAACTAATCCATCCAAGTGTCCGATGAAGTTTTCGGTCAGCCTTTTTAATTTCACTAAAACTGACAATGTTGTTAAGGGCTTCAGGACCCTGAAACAACTGTGTGATGATGCTCTGGCATATCACTGAATATATACAAAGCAGTGTGGGCAGAGTTAGAACACACAGCACTCTCTAGAAGCCACCAACAACAATCCAGACTGAAGGACTCCCATGGACATGGACAGGTGAAGAGGATAGATTAGTCCTTACCTAATGGAACTCTAAATTAGAGTCCTGAATATGTATAATTGCCATGCATCATAGTATTAACGTCACTGTCCAGTAAATAATTATTACTGCGAGGCGTAAGCCTGAAGACAGTTCTTCACTTTACCTTCTCCTCAGCCCAACCGAGACTCATAATCGTATCAAAGCACTTGGTTAAAGAGTAACTGGCAGTGGTTAACTTTGAAAGGTTATAATAATTGACGCTCTGGCGTTATTTGATTGGGAGAGGGAAGGGGGCGATAAGAGCTGGGCTGATGTGAACGTCGGACCCACGTGATGAGCGAACATCCAGCACAGCGAGAATTAGAGAAAGTTCAGGGAAAAAAAACTTTCCCAGGAACTTGTGCTAAGGGTTTGATGAGCAGAGGCTAAAAGGGAGGCACACAGCTATCTGGAGCAGTTCTCATAGCTACACAAAAACAAACATCTCTCCAGCCTGGGAGTAAAGAGCTCATATTTACGGGGGAGAAACCAACCGGATCCCCAGTTGTACAGGAAGAGGGCTAAACATCCTCAGCGTAAGTCTCAAAGGAGAGAAAGAATGAAAGTCTGTACACCTGCCGGAGTCTGAACAAAAGCCACATCACTGAAAGTGGGATCAGGTTGTTTGAAAAGCGAGCTCAGGTATCTTATGTACGGCTGTTTCAGCCTTTTAGTTTTCGCATGAATATTTCATTGTATCAGTTCGAGAGTTGTGTGCGGGAATGCGCTTGTAGTAGAGTTGCTATTAACAACAAATGGTTTATTTAAACCGATACCTCCGGAATAAGCTAATCCTGAGAGATCATAGAAAAGATAAAGAGAGTGAATTCTCAACCAAGTCAAAAATGTGTATAAAAATAACTTCCATAATTTGCAAGCGAGAATGGCCAGGTGCTCAAATATGTCATGTTCGGTAGTTTGATTATTTCGTCGTCAGATTGAAACAACTTTTGGTTGCAATTTTGAACTGTAGCCGTTTCCATTCCTGAGGTCTGATGCCTGTTGTTTGAGGTGAGACAGGCTGAGAGGCGAGGTTCAGCGTTGTGTTTTGACTGTATACATTTGCTGTGTGTGCTGTTTAATCTGGCTGGTAATTAATCATGGCCACAATAGCCCAGTTATGCTTCACTGAGGTGTGTTTGGTGCAGGGGAAGGAGAGCACATTAACCCGCACCGTGGTCATATTCTCTTCTCACACAGTGTCAGGGCGTCACTCTGCGGTGGGTAAGATTATTTGAATGCAAGTAAGATTTAAGGCAACACCTTGATCCCGAGCTGCGGGAGATCTCCTTTCAGACCATTTATTTTTCTTCAGCCACTTTTGTGAGTCTCCGATAGACCATTTTCACCCTTCTTCCTCCAACTGTGAGCCTGGGTGAAACCTGTTTGGTGACCTGGCTGTCAGGAGACCGCGGCAGGGGGCCGCTTCAGGCCAGATCCTAGCCGGTGGGGATTGACACAGCCCGACCAGGAGCTGGTGGAACTCACTCGCCCGTTGAAGGGTTTCCGCGCCAGAATGGTAATGAGAACAAGTTTTCCGAGCGCGATGAGCATAATACCACGAGAGCTATTCGACTTTTCCCAGTCGCTGTTTGATCAGTGGAAGGTTTAGTCAGCTTTCAAACCAGTTTTCATTGTTTCCAGGACGATGACTTCCTTTGCGTTTAGAATGATTACAGTCGAGTTTAAGTGTCGAAGACTACAAAAAAAAACGCTTTTTTAGGAGCTCCCACAGCTCTGAGTGGTTTCGGATTTTGATCCTGAGAGATCAGACATGCTACAGAGCTGGTTTGTTGTGGTTACCCAGGTTTCCTGATGGTCAGACATCCCAGCAGCTGGATCTGGCTTTAGTCCGGACAGGCCAAACCGTCTTTACCATTTGTCATAAATCATCATTACTGTTTCCTTTGCATTAACTCGGTGGCAAGGTGTAGTTCTGTCCTCTGAGGAAAACAGATTTGGAGATTTGAATAAGAGCTGTTCCGAGTTGCACAGGGTTGGATAGTATAGAGAAGGAGAAACCGTTTCCAATAGCAACGGATCAGTTACCCGAGGACACAGCAAACTGATCAAGAAATTCCCCCAAAAAAGGCTAAGGGGAAATGTGGAAACCTTTTTGTCCACAGTGTATTGTCATGGTCTGGGATGTTTGTACCTGAGGGTGGTGGGAACAGATTCAGTAGTCACTTTCAAAAGGAAATTGTGTTTATACTTAAGGATTTGGGTTGCTGAACTCCTGTCTTGTGCCACAGTGGTAGTGTCCCTATCTCTGAGCCAGAAGGACTGAATTCAAGTCCCATTTGCTTTAGAGGTGTGTGACAACATTTCTGAATAGGTAGATTACAGGCAACTATAGTTACTGAACTCCAGAGGAATGGAATAATTGGATAGTCCTCAGCACAAGCTGAGGAAGGGTCACCGGACCCGAAACGTTAACTCTGTTTTCTCCTCCACAGATGCTGCCAGACCTGCTGAGCTTTTCCAGCAACTTTGTTTTTGCTCAGCACAAGCAGGTTGACTGAATGTTGTAATTATATGCTGCTTCTTTCTACAAGATGAACTGAGGAGAGGAACAAATTGAGTGGTGCCTGGAAAAGTAAAGTTGTTCAACAGATTCCTGTCAACTCATAATACTAACACTTGGGGCGGCACGATGGCTCAGCGGTTAGCACTGCTGCCTCATAGTGCCAGGGACCTGGGTTCAGTTCCACCATCAGCAGACTGTCTGCATGGGTTTCCTCTGGGTGCTCCGGTTTCCTATCACAGTCCAAAGATGTGCAGGCTAGGTGGATTGGCCATGGAAAATTGCCCATAGTGTTGAGGGATGTGTAGATATGGTGAGTTATAGGGGGACGGGATGCTCTGAGGGTCGGTGTGGACTTGTTGGGCCGAAGGGCCTGTTTCCACCCTGTAGGGATTCTGTGATTCTATGAAAAGCTGATCAGTTGCATCCATCACACTGACAGAGCTTCCCAAAAGCTGTCAATCCAAAACCAGCCAGACACGTGGAATCACGGTTATGCTGGCATGAAAAACATGACTTGAAAAACATTCTTTCACCTATATTGGAAAGGGAGAAAAAGTTCGTAAGAGGTTAATCGTGAAATCCAAGTAATGGAGTTGTGTAATTGGTGGATTTATTAATCAAATTCTCTGAAAAGAACATATGTTCTGTATCAAAATACATTTTCTGTTCATTTTCAGCCACTTTGTGCCTCACTGATAAATAATTAGTTGCAAAAGAAAACAATGACATTTGGATTTTTGCTAGTCCATCCAGACTGTTATTTTCCTGCACTCTGCCTGCTTCTCCCTACCCCTCCCTTTAGTTCATGATGATTCAAACTTCGCAGAAACACTGCAACACATCCAACTGCCTATCTTTCCACACAGCCTTGCTTCTCTTCCAATCCTCATGGTTTGTACTGGCATTCTTTTCTCTCTCATCCCTCTCTCCCCACCTCCTGTCTACCAATCAATTGACGCTGGCAATCTCCATCTGCTCTAGCCTTTTCTGGTAATACTCCCATTCCACTCTGTCTATTCAAGCTCCTATCTGTAGTGTGCTTTGTGAGTTCATTCTAGCACTTACCCCTCTCCCTTACTAGGATAATGCTGCCATTCCCCCTTCTCTCTATGATAAAGGGCTATTTCCCACTGCTACCTCTTTCTCTTATAGAATCGCTTCTGATTCTAGCCATTTCCTTCCTATTAACACCCTCCTTTCACTGTCACCCAATCCACCCATTTACTGACATTCACTCTTAGCTCATTCCTTTCACTGCCATCCATTTAGCCCCTCTCTCCACTGGTCATTTCTCCAGTCTTATTTGAATCAGCTATTAATGCAATAGGCAAATCCTGCTGTTCTTCCTACATACTCCTGGTGCTAAGGGTTGTCTCACAGAGCTAATTCTGTCTCTGTATATCAGTAATGAGAGCACATTTTCAGAAGAATTCCTTTCAGTAAACTTGAGAGGCGCTTATCTCTGCAGTATGCTGGGGAGAGAGCAGAGCCTGTCTGGTTCCTTATAGTTACTGGATTTGAAGGTGTAGGACTAGAAGACCAACTGCACTTAATCAACATTCTCTAGTTGACTGACCAGGCCCCAGACTGTTTATTGTAACTGTGAACTGCTGTTGGCTGATTTTGTGTTGACATTGCTCTTGTGATGGTAACACAATGTGATACCTGTATAAAGAAAAAAAACAGCCTGCTTGGAGGAGTGTGGGATTTTTGTTAACCTTTTAGCATATGCTAGAAGAATCATACAATTTAAGATAAACATGTAAATCCATATCCCTGAAGAACTTTAATGAACAGATTTTCAAACTGAAAAAATTTAACGTTTATGGATTGATATTCTTTAATTATGAATTCAAATTTTCAGTAAATGTATCAAAAGAATTAATTTTGTTTTATAGTAGAAACTTACAACTTTAATAAGGCAAATATAAAAGTTCAATTTTATCCCTGCTATGTTCTTGATGCACACTTTTACTTGTTCGCTGAAGTTCCTGATTTTAATGATTTCAGGATAAAGTTATTTGTAAATGCCTTTGGGGTTGCTTAAAACCAATGCACAGAAGAAACAAAAAGTTTCTTTGTCTTTTCCTGAGCAACTTAGAATACTCCCACTGCAGAATAAAAAGTTAATGAATTGTTGATGGTGTCAGTAAAGGGAAGGTTCAGGAAATCCTTATACTTACCATGCGGTCTTTGATATCCAGCTGATTGGCCAACCACTGAATGTTAGCAATTCCAGAGTATAACAGTATCAGCTGGAATATGAAATAATATTATTTAATGAAGCTTGAATTCGTGCATTTCTGGCTGAGTGGAGTGTGTATAACCAACTTAAATAAGCTGAGAACTTTAAACTTAGTGGGAACAAATTTCACTTTTGTGGGATATGATCATTGCTGGTAAATTCAGCATTTATTACTTTTTGCCCTTATGAAGGTGGTGATCAGCTACCTTCTTGAACTGATACAATCCATCTGGTATAAATGCATCCACAAGCTGCTACAGAGTTCAGGTTGCGTGACTCACTGACTGCGAGGGAGTGGTGATGGTTTTCCAATTCAGGATGGTGTATGTTGTAGGGGAATTTCAGGTGGTGGCTTATACATTTGCTGCCCTTATCTTCCCAGGACAAGGCCATGAGTTTGGAAGGTACTGTTAAGGAAGGGGTGGTGATCTGGTTCGTTGACAAGAAAGTTGATGGGCATGGTGGATTGTACAGGGTGGTTCCAGTTTTACTTATCACAGTTTTGGCCCCAAGGAAAATCACTCTTTGTACAAGTAAGCAGCTCCATTTACAGAACAAAAAAGATATCTTTCTGTAAAAATTTTGGTTAAACAAAGCATATCAGGTGGAATTTAGATTTTTTGACAGATTCACCAATTGAACAGTTGTTTATATCTTTCGAAACTTGGGTTACACATCTGTGAAGATCAGTCCTGATTTGTGCTGGCTATATTTGGACACTCAACACTAGATGATTTAACCAGGATTTACTGTTCTGTACTAGTTTCATTCTAGATTTTTTTGACAGATTCATCCCACTAAAGAAAAACAGATGAGTGCAGATTCTTTAGCTTTGATTGGAAGTTGCTCCTTTTCTTTCCCTTATTTGTG